TTCCAAGCGTCGTGGGACCGTTTCTACCAATTTATGGAATAGTTCTGGCGTTTTTATGTCCCATTCTTCATGCAAAGCAACCGTATGGTGGTTTTGGGGGATAATGAGTGATTTAAAAGTTGTTCTTGTAAATATAACCAGAAATTTTCAATGGAGTTTAAGTCCAGATATTAACTCCATTGTAAATTTAGTAAAAGAAGTTACTTAGTGTTGTAAATTATCAACATTTTCAAGTACGTGTGTGTATTTTGTATTTTTCGTGTATTTTGATCGTTTTTCTGTTGAAAAATAAATTGAATGGGTTGTAGTCCCATTTTGGTGGTACTAGCATGCAAATTCTGCTCTAAAATTGACAAGTGGACCTTCATTTTTAGCCTATATTTACATTCATAAATATTAACAGTCCAACACCGTGGAATGACACAGAACCCCAAAATATGACAGAGCAACTTGGGTCCTTTGCAGTTGGGTTTAAGTAAGATAATTCCAAGGCATCTTTAAGCTTTCGCCATATCATTTGACGACCATCTAAGCCAAAAATATTATATTTGTTCTTATCGTCGAAGATAACCTCCTTCCAGAATCCAATATTGTTACTTACTATTTGCGGAGTCAAGACACTTACCATCGATTAACTTCGATATGAGCGGTTTCCACCTTGGTACTTGACCATGCAAATTATTGCTCCCTAGTACTTTGCGCACAATTTCGACACTAATTTTTATTCACAGGACTGTCCTGAGTTCGTTGTTAATTTTTGGAGCTAATAGATGAAGGTTCCTTCGGTATTTCCCTGTCTTCCTGTATTGACAGCAGTTTTGGACGACTTGATAATGGTAAATATTCGATGGAATTCTTTTTTCCATGCGCGTAATGACCAAATACATATATTGTCGATGGGAATCTATCAAACATTTCCTATATGTATTTAATTGATCGGCCTTGATTATACAGATATAAATTAATTATTTAATTTGAATTGATCAAATCTTTTTCTTTGAACATTTTAAGCGCTTACACAGGAAGAATTTACAACATAATTATGCAATTTTCCAAAAAAATATAATGTTAAACTACTACCTGCATAATGGGTCAATTAATAGACAATAAAACACGTGTTCAAGGATTCAAAGAAAGTTCTTAGAAAAAATTCCAATATTTTTGCGAAGTACCTGAAATTACCCTTTTTGGGTTTTTGGGTAAAAATTATAAAAAATAATAAAATTTCATTAAAAAATGTAAATACATATTATTATTATTATTTTTAAAGTAGCATCATAAAATAACACGGTAATTCATAAAAAATAATAAATTCGAATATTTATGTGAGACACTGTATATAAAATTTCAATTTATTTCATTTTCCCGACTCTATCATTACTTTAGCAATAGCAAAACAAAAGGAACAACAGCAACGCTAAACGAAATAAAACACACAAAAAAACAAAATACACAACGCAATGAAACCAACAGCATCCAACCATACCAAACAAAATACACAACGTAATGAAACCAACATACATCCATACATTAATCTTTTTCCAATAAGCAGTGTTGTTGTTGCTTATTTATCAAAGCATAAAAAAATTGTATTTTTTGTTTGAAATTTTCAGAGGTTATCTCGGATTTTTGCTTATATCTCCGTTATTTATGGACGGGTTTTGCAGATTTTAAATAGGAAACTTCTCGAAAGCATGTCTGACAGAATTATTGAAGACTTGGATCCGAAGATATCTGAGTTCTTCAGAAAACTGATTTCAACAGACACACAGACGGATAGACAGACATGGCTTAATCGACTGCGCTATCTATAAGGATTCAGAATATATATACTTTAAAGGGTCGCAAAATTATATATTGGAAATTACAAACTGAATGACAAACTTATATATACTCTTCTCATGCAGGTGACGGGCATAAAAATTGGTTAATTTCAGATGAGAAACATTTATATATCCGGATTTAATTTTTAAACCGGCGATCTGTAAATGCTGTTTTACTCAGAAAGTTTTTTGATTTATGTCGCAGAGGGGGGTAGAAAGGAAATTTTTTGGAAATAAATCTGGCATTTCTTAACCGCTGCAAAAATCTTCCACTTTTTGAATTTAAAATTGTTTATTATTGTATCCATAAATGGTATTTCCTTGACATTTTTCGTAATTTAGTTGTCTAACTAACAGAAAAAATTTAAGTTCATTCGGTTAAAAATTACGTCCTATATTTTCAAAAGAGTGGACCAAGGTATGGCAATATTTTTAAATTTTAAAATGCCTATAACTCAGAAATTATAATCTAAGACCTAGCTGAGCGTTTTCCAAAAATATAAAAATTTTTGATATCAGATGGGAAACCAAATATTGGCACGCGTTTAAAAAAAATTCCTTTCTGCCCCACTGTGTGTCGGTCTTGTAGTAAATGATCCTTAAAATTTGCAAAAAAGGGAAATATGTATGACGCTAATAATAATAACTTCAATAAAAATATTCTTTAAATGAGCCTAAAAGGGATGAGGGATTTATACAGATTTGTTGCCCTACTTAAGTATAATTAAGTAATGTAGATTCTTAAACTTTTATTAACAGTAGCAGCATTTTTTAAACAACTGGATTTATTAAATCCAAATTTTAGTTCTTGCACTGTGCGCCAGGTGGATAAGGCAAAAGGTTTTAATCGAGGCTAAAGAAATGACCAAAACTAAATTTCAGCCTCCAAAGATAGTTTTTTTCTTGAAATAAAATAAATGCAGTGATTAAAAAGCCCATAATATTGAAAAAAGTTTTTTGTATTTTTTTTCCAAAAATATTAATAAAAACTTATAACTACGTGTACATTAGAGTGGGTCGGTCCCTATGGACAAAAAAAAAGCTGCGTCAGTCACCCCCTAGAATTAAAGATATGTTAATAACATTTCCATTTTTAGTCCGATCGTAACATGTCATATATCAATATTTATGGCTTGACTGTAGCTATATTTCACTCTTAGAAAATTTTTTTATTCGACGTCATACTCTATGCGTGACTTCTGATATCTCGGATCCTTCCCCAAAATCTAAAATTGTGGCTATAATGGAATAAAGTACATTGAATTATATGAACTATTAGCTTTTAAAATGCTCACTTTTATGCAAAAACACCTATTTTATAGATATTAAAAAATGTTTAAGTATTTATCAACCGTTCTCACAACAAACAATTAATTTGCCAGGAAAAACAGTCGAAAAAATTTTTTTAATGACTTATATAAAACAGAAATCCTTTTAATTTTTTCAGTTATAAACCATTTCAGATCCAACCTTCTTTCAAAATAAGAGAAAGTTAACTACATATATCCTACATCAATATAGTGGTTTAGCTATGTCCGTCCTACTGTCAGTCCATGTAAACCTTGTTGTCAAACTACAAATCGCAATTTTCCAGATAATTTGATGAAAATAGGCTCAAATATTTCATTTTACCAAAGGACGAAGTTGTTTGAAGATGGATTAAATCGGAGCCTTTAATTGTGGCTTGCCGTTATTTCCCTCTTAAACACTACCATTATCATAAAATTCTGCATATCTAACTCCTATATGAACATAAATCCCTCCACTAAATTTTGTTGGGATCCTAGCTCCCATATATAGGCTCTTTCAGAAAATCAGTTTTTCATCAATAAATTGCTTAAAAAGTAGTAGTCTATATAAATGCTTTATTAAAAAAGAAATCACATTTTAGATATACTCATAACTGGTTCATTCCCGACTAATATTTATACCCTACACTACTATAGTGGTGTGCAAAAATATTGGTCCTACACTCACCTTAAAGTATACCGATCGATTCAGAATCATTTTTTGAGTCGATTAAGACATGTCTGTCCCTCCGTCTGTCCGGCTGGCTGGCTGTCCATCTAAACCTTGTGCGCAAGGTACAGGCCGCAATTTTCAAGATAATTTGATGAAACTTGGACCAAGCATGTTTTTGGGCACAGGGACGAAGCCCAAATTCGGTCCATTATTTCACCAAGCCCCCATACAACCGTACCTCCCGATTTGGGCTTTTTATGCCATAATTACGTCAAATATACTATTATCTCTCTAAAAATTAACACAAATAAGTTTTATATAAGTATAAATGACACTGCAGATTTTCGTAATGATCGGCCTTTATTTGACCCTAGCCCCCATACAAACCCCTCTTCAAAAAATGTCTTAAACGTCTAAAATTGACTTGTAACCATTTGTATCGCAATGAAACAAAACTAACTCTTATTTAAAAATATATCCTTTTCCCAAATTTAATAAGGATTGGCCCATATTTGACCTATACTCCTATATAAAGCCTCATTTAGAAAATTTTGATTTTTATCAATAACTTGCTTAAATACTTTGGAATTAAGGTAAAATTCATAATAAAAGTTTTTTTATGAAAAATAAAAATTTTAAAAATATACTCATGGTGTAGGATATTATATGGTCGACCATGCCCGACTATACTTTCCTACTTGTTTTTATTAGTTTTTATTTCAAGAACTTCTTTAAAAATATATAACTATTTAAGAAAAGTTATTATATCTTTAAATAAATTTATTACATTTTATAAAAATTAATATAAACATTTTTGAAAATTGTAAAAAAAAAACGAAAAAAATTGTCTAAGAGTAAAATATAGCTAGAATCAAGCCATAAATATTGATATATTATATGTTACGATCGGACTTAAAATGGCGACGTAATATGTAAAAAACAAAAAGGGCGGTATTTCTAGGCGTGGCAAAAAAATATTTTTTATATTTTTGGAAATGTTAATAACATATCTTTAATCGTAGGGGGTGACTGACTCAACTTTTTTTTTCGACCCACCCTAGTGTACATTCTCCTCCCGGAGGAGGAGGCCATAAAATACTTAAACTGTTTACTTTGTTTCCTATATGAAGTTATTGTTCAACTTATAGGATTTCCTTTTAACCAATGTGGGATGTTCAGCTATTTAATCTAAAAACAATTTTCACACTTTTAACGTATTTTTCAAATCGCTATATTTTTGGACTGAAACAGGTTTCCGCTCAAAAAGCCATTGATTTGAGGAACACTGTCAAACCATAATACGTATCGTAAATTGCATTAAATTTGAAAGTGTAAATCCGAAAATAACTGTTTTCTGTACGTTTTGATATGGATTTCTTATCGGCTAATGATGCATTTTATTTCGCGATTGTATAGTAGCAGTACTGCCAACTCTACGACGATCGTAAAAGGGTTCTGGAACTCCGGTCCGAACACCGATGGCAGTTACGGCTGCAAATCCACTACCCGCAGGTAATATGCTTAAATCATGACCTACTTTAGTTAAATAATTGCGTACATTTATCGGGACTTCTATTTCTGCATCAATTCGCATAGGTGCTAATTGATGATGAAGCCGTCCATCATTGACGGACTGATGCATAGTTTCATTAAATATCAAATATTTCATTATAGTCTGAAAGTAATTCTTAAATTTATCAAAACGGTCTAATGTTTTATTGTAACATCTTAAACATACCGCTGCAATTGAAGTAGTAATTTTCGTTCCACCCGCAGCACCTACTAACATTTTAACATTGCCCTCTTTATCTAGGATTATAGCTGGGCACATTGAAGACATTGGCCGTTTCCCAGGCTTGATGTAGTTAGCTGGAGATGCTGGGACACCATATGAATTGATAACGCCAGGCGTTGAAAAATCGTCCATTTCATCATTCAATATAATGCCGGTTCTTCTTGAACGCACCTTTGAACCAAAATAGCTATTAACGGTACTCGTAACTGTGATGGCATCACCATTTTCTGCTAAAACCGCCATATTCGCTGTGCCGTGATCTTCTTCGATTGTGAAATTTGCTCCATAGTAGGCCATGTCATCAAATGTTGTCTCGTCGTGTATTAGCTTACGAACGTCATTAGCAAATTCTTGGCTAATAAGTTTGTCAAATGTTTCTTTAATTGTATCATACATTTCCGTCTCTTTTTCAATATCTCCCAAATTAGTTCGTTGACCATAAGCATGTTTAAAAGTTTCGATAACTCGTTGCCAGTATATTTCCTGATCCGTTGTATATAAATCGCTCATAACATTTAATATGAAAGCTAAGAGAGCACCACTAGATGGCAAAGGCGTCGTGTATAACTTATAACCCCCTGTAACATTAGCTACAACATGATGTGTATCGTCCCATTTAACCCTAAATTAAGTACAAAATGAAATAAATGAAAAATATTATGTATAAACTATTTGGAAGCATATGTATGTCAGTTTGCGTTGCAATATGTTGAGTAAAGCTAGGCACTCTGTTCAAAATTTTATGTGAAATTTTTAAAAACTTCATACAAAAAATTTATAACGAACATTTTATGGCATAATGATGAAGAAGTAGTACTCTGTTTGTATTGTTGGAAGGTATGTGAAAAGTTTCTAACAACATTCTAGCAATATTTTTTCAATTGTATGAATGAATTAAATAATGGAATCTATTTTCTAGTTAGTTCACGTGACATTTTAAGTAAAAGTTTATTTTAGCAAGTATTTAATTATTGAAAACCGTTGAAGTGGTAATATTTTTCTGAAAGGTGGATCTGAGTAGAACAAGAATATGTTTTAGAAATTTGCCAAACACCTCCAAAATCTTGAGTTACGGGTAAAAAATGGGTTTTCGTACCTTTAAGCACTTATAAGTCAGTAACTTAGTTGAATCTTAACCGATTTTAAGTTTAAAAAGCAGAAGCTGAGGTCTTTATAATGACATATATGATGTTTAAGTAACCTGGAGAGATATGTGTGAATTAGTGCTGTAATATTCTACTACTTTTGATTACTCAATACTACTCAATACTTTTCGTTTGGGTACTCAATACTACTCGATACTTTTAACGGTTTTATTTTAAATTAAAAACGAGGAATTTTTCCTTTTTTTAAGTAAAGTTAGACCAGACATCACACCTCTTTTGAGACATTTTATTTTTTTAGGTTGCGTCAATAAATATTTGTAACTTTTTAACTATTATTGCAGTTTTTAAATTATTTTTACATTGATTTGATATTGCTAAGAGTTGCATTTCTAATAATGATATGATCTGTATTAGTTGTAGAGCTGTATTTTTTCACATCATAGCCGTTAAATTTAAATAAGTTAAATCCATATACAAGTCTAAAAGTATTGAGTAACTACTTTTTAGTCTTGAGTACCCAAAAAATAGGGCAAATACTCGATACTCGATACCCACTAATCAATACTTTAACAGCACTAGTGTGAATTTCATCATTTACAGTTGTATTCATATAAAATGCTTATTTTAGATTTAAATCACACAATAGTTAAAGTACACTTTAGACTTAAAAACCATTAATAAAATTGTGGTATTCATAAACAAATAATAAACCTACATTAACTATTGTGCTGTTTATTGTTTAACTTGGCAGCACTGTACAATTTGGCTGTCATTTTCTGTGTTAGTGTTGCGAACAATTAGGATAAAATATTCGTTGAGTCGGTTTTGTTAATTTTATATTTTTGGTTATAACACATTTTTGAAAATAAGAACGAACTTTTAAGAAAAATAAATGTATACATGGCTACAATAAATATATATTTAGTTCAGATGAATGAATTTAACATATATATTTTTAATTATAATTAAAAGTATTCGAATAACGAATATTTTGTGACAAAATAAACATCACTATGCACATTTTGTTATTTTTACTTATTTTTATAGCAATTTTTAATAAATTTTTGCAAATACTGATAAATTATTATTTATTTTGCATTGATAGAACACTAATCAATATAAGTTACACTCTTAATTACTTCATGGCTTTATATTTAGCGAATAAACTATGAAAAAGACAAATAAAATGATTGTGGCCATGATTTGATTGACAGGCGGGCATTTCCAAATTGCCAAAAATAGTATTAACCAACTGGAATACTGTCAAATATTCATCTATTAATCCAATAATGCCTAGATTTTAGTTTTTTCACCAAAATAGAAATTTTTAAAATTTATCTGGAATTTCATTTACAAATTTGTAAACGTTAAAATTACAATTTTTAGATTTCATTTCAGAATAAAACATGATTAGTTTTCGTCTTCAACCTAAAATTAATGAAAAAAGTTTAATCAGAGACAAAATTTGTAAGAATTCAACTTATTGTTGGCTTAAAGTAGGGTTGAGCGTACAATAAATTTTTTCTATTTGTCATTGGTTTATTGAAGGTATTTTAAGCTATTTGACGTTTATGAATACCATTTTCGTGGATTTTGCTTAATTATGTTTAATAAACCTAAATTAACTTTTTATGAATACAACCGTTAGTTTTCATTTAGAATTTCATTTATTTAAGTTTTGCACCGTTGCCCAAGTTTGGAGATGCGTTTTGAAAGTATTTTATATAGGAACCGTATTATTTATTAATTGATTAGAAACCCATGTCTATTCATGAGTAAAACGCAACCTGGCTTTTAAAAATCCGTTAGCAATTGACGACGTTATTGATCTGTTTCAAGTTGTTCAAAAACTGATTTTCTGAAGAATGCTTTATATGGGGGATAGGCGGACGGGACTTCTAGGACCCATGTGAGTCGGTCAAATGGCCGACTGCTTCAATAATCTATGGGGGATAGGGTTAAATATAGGCCTATATTAGAAATTTGGTGGAAGGATTTATGCTTATATAACAGTTATTTATGCTGAATTTCATCGTGATATTGATGTAATTAAGAGAATTTGGAATTAAAGTCGTAGTCAATACAAAAATCGGTGTAAATGAGTTTGCTGTAATCTTTAGTAATACTGCTGATTCTTTAGACAATACGTACTAATTTAACCCTAGTCCCAATACAATCCCTCCTTCAGAAAATGACTGATTCCAAACCTACACAGTTGCATAAAAACGTGCTTAAAAATTTTAGGAAAAATGTACACTTTCACAGATTTTTTAATCTTTTTGTTGCACATTTAATAAATATATTTCTAGAGTTGGGATTTGTCAGAATGAAATTTCTAAAATTGAAAAAATAATGACCATTGGAACGAAATAGTTTTTGTGTATTTCACAATATTACCTATAAAACCGTCGTTACATTTAACTTATATCGGCAGCAGGACAATGTTTTAATGCTTCTTCATCTGAATTTTCTTATTAGAAAAAATTTTATGAACATTTTAAATCATATTTTTAAATTTATTTTTTGCTTTGAAAACGCAAATATAAATTTTTTTAGAATAAAAATAATTTAATGTATTTCCATTTTCAATACTCAAATTTACAACTTCTTTTCTAGTTTTATTTAAAATTAATTGTCATATTTTACAAGAAATAAAACTATTTCGGGCTATAAACGGTGTAAAAATGCACAAAAAATTAAAAAATGTCTAAGAAAATGGGTAAGAAGTGAAATTATCTTCATATTCGCGAAAAAGTTTTGAGGTATTGTAAGAGAGTCGGACTTTCACCAGTGTGTTGAATTCACACAAAACTCGTTTTTATGGATATATTATTGTTGTAAAACAATGTTATAGTCCAAATTCTTATTATTCTTTGTTATGAAATATCACTTATAGGAAATGGATATTGGACGACACACGGTCTCCAATAATTATAGACTTCATAATAAACGTTTGTTTAAAATTTCACGTGAACAAAATTTTGCTGGAATGTTTTTAAAAACATTTCACATGTTTTTCAACAATAGCCCAATTCACGATCTGGTGTATTTTTGCAATTGTATTTATGCAATTGTAAATATGTATTTGCTACTAATTGTGAACGATTTCTTCTGTTTCTATTTACAAAACTTATTGCAAAACAGAAAATACACGGCATTTGCTTCTTTTTGATTTTTGGTACATTTTTGCTTCATTTAACAGTTTTTATTAAATTTTTATTTTTTTTTGTTTCCATTTGTAGTTTTTTATTTTAATATTTAATTTTTTAGCTGTCAGTAAGTGTTGCAAAATTTTGAGTAAATAAAAACTACGTATTTAAGTGTAGTATATTTCTGTATATTTTGTTAGTGTATTGTAAAAATATACAAAACCATATGCAAATGCAATGATGCAAGAGCGTTTACACTAAATTGTGAATTGGGCTAATAATATTTTATAACAAGTTGCAAGTGTATTTCTCTATATTTTGTTAGTGTGGTGCAAACATATACTAAACCATTTTGCAAATGGAATGATGCAAGACCATTTACACGAATCGTGAATTGGTCTATTGTATTTAAATATGTACATAAGTATGTATTTTTGTTGGAAAATGTGTTTTAGAATGTTTGACGGTGACGTTGATCTACAATACTTACTTATAAGTTTTTAAGTCTTGTTCTGTTATTATGCCACCCATTTCTTGTATGTCCTCAGCAAACATTTTGCCGGTCTCTCCACCGTCATACATTTCTCCAACTCCATTAATGGCGATTTTTTCTAAAGTATTACCCAGAGCAGGCCGCTTCATGTAATCCCCTTCTTTATACAACGAGCCATCTTCTTTTACAAATATTTCAGCCATTGTGGGTTCATTTCGAATAGCGGCTTCTTTAGAAAGTAGGGCAGCAGCTAAATACTTGGACACCCAATGGCCTTCTTTGCAAAGTTTAATACTGGGTTGAAACAGAACTTTCCACGGCAAACGGCCGTATCTTTGGTGTAATTCCCAATAACCAAGTATCTCTCCTGGAACAGCCCCCGCTTTTGCACCTGTGAAGGAAGTATACTTTTAGCATATGAAGTTTAGCGCAATGTTGTAGTAAATAGTCTGAAAAGTCAATAGTCGATTTTCGATTTTTTATTACATTTTTAAGTCGATTAAGCCAATAATCGATTACGATTATTTTTAAGAATTTTTATATGAAGATTTTTCCAGTTTTATTTTTAAAACTACTTATTAAAACAACAAGTAAAATATTACATTCGAATCCAATTAAAATATTACATACACAAGAGACCGACTCACAAAAAAAGGTGCTTTAGTTACCCTTCTTAAAATATTCATTGTTATGTCGTATGATCTTACCCAAATATTTTGGGTTTACTGTTGTCCATTCGTGAGCTGGACAGTTTTTACATGTTTAAAAGAAAATTTTACTCATCTTAAAAAATTATTCTTTTATTTTATGAGGCAATTCCAAAGACAGATTTTGTAAGATTGTTTTTCAACATAAAATTGTTCTAAAAATAACTAGTTCTAGAACGAGTGCAAACAGAACCACTTCAGATTCTTAAACAACAAACTTGGAACTAGTGTTGTCGCCATTACTTCTGGAACCTCTTCTTCGGAACATTGTTTTGGTTCTAAAATACTTCTAAAGAGTTTTAAGGAACTAGTTCGTTCACACTAGTTATACATTGATACTACACTAGTTCAATGGAATGCGTTCTACTGCCGAAACAACTTCTTGGAATCTGTTCAAAAATTGTCAAAAAAATAAAAAATGTTAAACTAATTCATATTTATATTTCTGCATACAACTGAATTAAGTAGAAGAATTTAAAAAGATCCCTCATTAAATTGTACCAGGAAAAATGAAAGTTAGCTGCTGGTTTTGCATATACCCTACAAAAATGGTTTATATTGTGTATACGTGTGGCAGAATGATCATGAATTTTAAGATAATGAGACAATTGGTGCTAATACACTGGAAAAATAACTGCTTTTAAATTAGAGAACATATATGCATACCCCCTTATTCACAAACAAAATTTTTCTTTTATAAATGGTTTATAAATTTGATTTTAAATGGAAATTTTGTTTTATAAACCTTTTATAAAATAAAAATGTTGTTTGCGAATAAGGGAGTTAGTATACGTTCTCTAAAACTTCCCTAGAACTAGTTCCGAGGTTGGCAAATTCGAGCATAAATCATTGATTAAAGAACTAGTTCCAGAACCGTTCCAAAGAATGAGTGTCAACTCCATAAAGCTTTCTTAGAATCACTTTAAAATCAGCCCAATCGGCCCATAAATAACGAAGATGTGAGTAAAAATCCGAGACCACCTCTGAAAATTTCATCAAAAATTTACTTTTTTCGTGCATGCTTATACATAACAATAAACAAACAAAAACAAAACAGTATCTAACGGTAATTTTTTTTTGTTATTTGTTATTGTAATTCTTGTTTATAAACACAAAGCAAAGAATGAACATCACGTTACGTTGTTATTGGCTAGAAACATGAAATTAAGTATGTAGAGCCTGGATTAGGCGAGAACACATTAAAGGGCACTTTTTGGTACTTTTTGAATTTTCTATAATATTGAACCTAGAAATATGAAATTTAGCATGTAGGGCCTTGACTAGGTAAGAACCTATAGAAAGGGACTTTTTGAATTTTCTATAATATTGAACCTATATATATGAAATTTTGCATGTAGGGCCTTGACTAGGTAAGAACCTATAAAAGGGGACTTTTTGGTACTTTTTCGTTCTACAAAAGGTACTTATTGAATTTTTATACCGTCCACCACTTTAGTGGGGAGGGTATATTGGGTTTGTGCTGATGTTTGTAACGCACAATAATATTGGTCCTATACCCACCTTAAAGTATACCAATCGGCTCAGAATCATTTTCTGAGTCGATTTAGCTATGTCCGTCCGTCTGTCCGTCCGTCCATGTAAACCTTGTAATCAAACTACAGGTCGCAATTTTGAAGATAATTCAATGAAATGATGAAAAATGATCTTCTATTGTCCCAGGGACGAAGCCTATTGAAAATGGTTAAGAGCGGTCCATTATTTCATATTTTCACGCAATTTTGGAGATAACTCAATGAAATTTGGCACATGATCTTTTATGGTATCGTAGACGAAGCCTATTGAAAATGTTTAACATCGGTCCATTATTTCACCTAGCCCCCATACAACTGAACCCCCGAATAGGGCTTTTAAACCTTGTAATCAAACTACAGGTCGCAATTTTGGAGATAATTCAATAAAATTTGGCACATGATCTTTTATGGTACCGTAGATGAAGCTTGTTGAAAATTAATTACATTGGTCCATTATTTCACCTAGCCCCCATACAACTGAACCCTCCGAATAGGGCTTTTAAGTTCATAATTATGTGTAATATACTCATATCTCGACAAAAAGCTGCAAAAACCAAATTGTATACTCGATGACCCTCACGAATTCCATAATAATAGGTTCTCATATGACCCTAGCCCCTATGAAAAGCCCCCATCAAAATTTTACTTAAATGTCCACAATTTTTATCAACAATAAACGGCTTAAGTATGTATATCTAAGGCAAGGTACAATTCAACTTAAATGCTTTATTATAGCAACTAATTAATAACATTATGTGATTTTTTTTGTCAAATGTGTGGGGTATTATATGGTCGGCCCCGCCCGACTATAATTTCTTACTTGTCTACAATATTGAACCTAGAAATATGAAATTTAGCATGGAGGGCCTTGACTAGGTAAGAACCTATAAAAAGGGATTTTTTGGTCATTTTTCGTTCTACAAATCAAAAATCGATTGTTGAAGGAAAAAATGAGTGATCACAGAATAAGCGTATTTTTCAATTTAAACGTGTTTTAACGAAGTTTTTAGCGATTTTAGTTTTTTCAAGTTTATTGATCAGAAAATCGATTTTTGAAGGAAAATATGAGTGATCACAGAATATCGCTTATAGTTTTTTCAAGTTTTTTGATAAAAAAAATCGAATTTTGAATGAAAGTATGAGTGATCACAATGAAGCTTATTTTTCAATTTAAACCTGTTTTAACAAAGTTATACGCGATTTTAGTTTTTTCAAGTTTAACGAAGTTAACTTGAAAAATCATCAATGATCACAAAATAAGCTTATTTTTCAATTTAAATGCGTTTTAACGAAGTTATAAGCGATTTTAGTTTTTTCAAGTTTTGTGATAAAAAAAACGATTTTTGAAGGAAAATATGACTCATCACAAATGAAGCTTATTTTTCAATTTAAACGTGTTTTAACGGCGTTATAAGCGATTTCAGCTTTTTCAAGTTTTTTGACCAAAAAATCGATTTTTTAAGGAAAATATGAGTGATCACAGAATAAGATTATTTTTCAATTTAAACGTGTTTTAATGAAGTTATAAGTGATTTTAGTTTTTTCAAGTTTATTGATCAGAAAATCGATTTTTGAAGGAAAATATGAGTGATCACAGAATAAGCTTATTGTTCAATTTAAACGTGTTTTAATGAAGTTATAAGCGATTTTAGTTTTTTTCTTATAGCGGAGTCGATTTAGCCATGTCCGTCCGTCTGTCTGTCTGTGTGTATGAATTCGAAGTGCTTTACGTGAGTACCTGGCGTGGAGCCCTATCTTACGGTGGGTGAGTAACAAGAAAACAACTCACCACTGCCCCTTTGTGTATCTACATGCAGGTCGCAATTTTTGTACATGGATATGCCGGTCCATGTCCAAGCACTTTGCTTAAGTACTCGAGCTATATAATCTCTTGCTAAAGTAATCACGTTGGGGAAAGACAGGTGTCATGAGCAAGCTCAATCTACCCCGACATAATGTCGCCCAACCACACTACTATGGCCCTGTTGATTCGGCAACAGCACTTAGGGGACGTAATTGGTAGTCCGAAACACATATAATATTAATTGACAAGACTTTATTTCAGTGGCTACAAAGACCCACTGTGGTAAGTTGAGCATGCACTCAACCATGTTGGAAAATCGCTAATAAATTAAAGAAAGGGCAGTGACGACCTTGCACTATACTACGTAGTCTAACACATCGTTCATCGTTACACCATTATCACACATCCGTCAAATCCATCAATCACTCCATTCTTTTAAACAAGCACCCCCTTTCTGCTATTTAGGTTTCAACCACAGCCACTACGTGGATCCCGAAGGAACCTCAGCCAACTGACCAGCCAGGACAACTCCTGTGGGCAACTGGCCACCTGTTGTGGCCAGTTCTAAAAAAGGAACTTTTTGAATTTTCTATAATATTGAACTTAGAAATATGATATTAAGTATGCAGAACCCGGATTAAGTCAGAACATATAGAAGGGGAGGGACTTTTTGGTACTTTTTCGATATTCGAAATGGATTATGTGAGAACCTATAAAAGGGTACTTTTTGGTATTTTGTCATTCATCAAAGGGTACTGACACATCATGGTGAAGGGTATATAAGATTCGGCACAGCCGAATATAGAACTGTTACTTGTTTCTTTTTAAAATAATAAAAATAGTATTATTAAATTTTAAAATGGTAAAAAGAAAGAAAACAGAAGGAATAAATTTATTTTAAAATCGTTTTTTATAAAAATTCTAAAAATATATGTAAAAATGTAGATAAAAATAATATAGAAAAATGTAGAATAAAACAATATATTTAATAATAGAATAAAATAATATATTTACAACAGTTTTATATTTTTTATATATTCATAAAATTTATAAAAAAATATAAAACTGTTGTAAATATTGGTAAAATTTGTAAAAGTATAAACCAAATTAAAATTTTGTTATAATTTCCAAAAATTTAAATATTGTTTTTATATAAAATTGTTTTATATTTATATAATAATAAAATATTCACATTCCAGGAGACATTCTCAAGAGGTGGAGGAGTTATATAAATTTTGAACTTTATATGAAAACCCTTTTTGATTAAAACTTAAAAAACAATAATTTAAAAAAAAGTATTATTCCCAATTGAAAAATTTAAAGTTTCATTCCATAAAAAAATTTTCTGTTATATGTAATTTATACGTACATAAATTTGTACTGAAAAGGTATAGAAACTTAAAAAAATAGAAATATTGTAATTTCAATGGTAAAAAAATATTTTTTTTACCATGGTTATTTTTGCATACAAAATTTATGTTATTAATCTAATCATTTGCTGTGTTTTTTTCGAAATTTTTATCTATAACTATAAAAACTTCGAATAAAACGGTATGGCTGCTTAACAGCAATTCAATTTATGTTTAATTTGGACACAGACTAATTAAAATATTTGTCCACACCGAAAAAATTCAAACAAATTTGATTTTTTTCCAATTTACTTTGAAATTTTGTATCTGGCAATTTAATTTTACTTATCAAATTCACAAACCATCACATCGTGTATATATGTATTCTGAAAACTTGGAAGCATTGTTATCTATACATAATTTTTAAATACATAGGTATGTATATCTGTCGCTACTAATGAAATTTATACATACGTACTTAAATTTGTACTGAAAAGTTATATAAAATTCGAAAAAACACAACTATTATTGTGTATAATTTATCAAATTAAAAAATATTGCTTGATTACTATAGCAAAATCCTTATCTGAATTAGTTTAATCTTATTTATTTTTGTGTATGAAAAAAATTCATAAATAGCTGACGCGAGCTCTTACCTGTAATTGAAGTTTGGCCCACAAACATATCTTTATGAGCAGCAGCAGGGGCAGACTCTCGCGCGATTAATGTCTCTATTCTGCCAAGTTTTTTGGTATAAACTGTAGCCACAAATCCACCGCCAATGCCCATACTATGAGGCAATATAACTCCTTCACATATCAGTGTAGCTATAGCAGCATCAACAGCGGAGCCACCATCAGTTAACATTTGACTTTAGACAAAGAATTACTTATTAGTATAACCAATCTGAAGACATTTCATGTTTAATAAATATATTTACCTTCCAATTTCAGCACATCCTCTACCGTTCGATACTACTGCGCCCACAATTTGAGATTTATTTTTTCCTTTAAGGCCGAATACGAGTCCTAGTATCAATGCTACTACAATAATCGCCGCTATTGTAATCCATAATGTTATTTTTTTATTTATTGTAATTCTGAAAAATTAAATTAGATATTTTTGGGTTATTTCTGGGATTTCTTCGAGAAAGAGTTTCCCTAGGATTTGTTTTGCTTAAAACAAGTTTATTATTATTAATATATAACACCGTGATCTCCTTTTTAAAGGACTTTAAAGTTGTAAGGATATTAAAATTTATTAAAATTATTGAATATTTATTTTATTAAAATTTACAGAATAATTTTCATCAATATGGGTATCAAATGACAGAGGACAATCTCCGGAACTCAAATCTATTTTTTGTTGTTACTATTCAGGACGAAATATTTTAAATAATGTCCTTTGAAAATTACATCCTTTTATATCTTTTGGAATTTCTAATATATTTTTCTTAAAAAAATGTGTGTTGAAACCCTTTGTATTCTTTACCGCATACTTAAAATTTGTTCCTATAGCTTTGTTAGTTAAGCCGCTAGAAAAAATTGTATAATTGCACTAAAAAAAATTAATCTCTTGACAAATACGGAAATCAACGTGGGAAAATTTTGGACTTGAACAAAACCAAAAACAACTGATAGCTTAGTTCTTATATGGAAAAATTGTATACTCAGTTTTAAATTTTTCTTGTTAAAGGACTTTAAACTTTTAAGGATATAATATTTTTTATTCAGGGGAACAAATATTTGATGTTTGTTTCCCTGAGTTACTGGGAGTGAAATTAAGTAGTACGGTCTCTAAAAATTTAAATATCATTTTAAAATGTTATCCTTCCATATAAAGGATGAAATTATTAAATTGATAATTTGTTTATTTATCAGGACAAACAAAATTAAAATAATTTTTTTCGTCCTGAAAAATAGAAACAAATGATAAATACCCATTAAGCGACTATAAAAGCCTTTTAAGGAAATTGGATAAGCTTTTTTTGAGTAAAAATGACCCATTTTGAAAAAATAATTAAAAAAAGATTTATTAAAAAAAAATATTTATTTGGAAACAGTGAAGAAATAGCTATCTAAAGTCCTTCGGACATTTTTTGCTAGGACCAATAGGTGAAAGTTACAGTCATTTGAAACAAACCCTGTATAACAAAAATCTCCAACTTTGACCCCATCTTACTCCGGCACTTCTTAACCGATAGAGCTAAAAATGTGTCTGGCTTACTATCCAATAGTACTAATCTTGGTCCAAATTTCATCCAAATCGATTTTTTGAGTTGAATCACTTGACATACGTATATTGGAAATTCTCAGGAATAATATATTTAAAGGCTATTATTTACCATTTTTCAACTTGAAAGTGAAAACAATATATTTTATAATTATATTGAGGGATCCTTCCCTTTAATTTGATGCATATGTATATTGATATAAGGATAGAAACTTTTATTAAATGTTTATACCCTTAACACTTTGATGTCCTTCAAAAAGGATCAAAGATCAGAAAGTGAAAAACTGAGTACACGGTTTTTCTGTATGGTCCTATAAGTAATGTCCAGTATTTTACTAAAATTAGTTTGCTTATTTATCAAGAAATATATTTTTTAATATTAAAGTAATAATATAATTTGTTTCTAGCGGCTAAACTAATAAAGCTATATGAATAGGAATTAAGTATGGGGTAAAGAATACATAGGGTTTCAGCACATATTTTGTTAAGAAAAATATATTAGAAATTCCAAATGATATAAAAGGATGTAATTTTCAAAGAACATTATTTAAAATATTTCGTCCTGAAAAATAAAAACAAAAAATAGATTTGAGTTCCGGAGATTGTCCTCTGTCATTTGATACCCATATTGATGATGAATGTATTTTAATATCCTTACAACTTTAAAATTCTTTAAAAAGAACAAAGGATCCCAAAATGAAAAACTGAAAACGCAGTTTCACTTTAATTAACCTCTAATATCATGTGTATATGGTCTCGTTCAGGTCCAATATTTGCTGTCGCACGGTGTAATATAATAATATCATAATCAGTAACATATGTATGTTCAAGCTCTACAAGGACTTGCTATAAAAAAAGTAAGACCCTAATATGTACATTAGGAATTTGGCGAAATTTTTGGCATACCACCACGAGATGGCCAATGTTGTATAATTAAAATTTTTTAAATTTTTTATTTTAAGATTAAAATAGTATATATGGGCATTTTTACCTAAAAGTATACTTTTGTCACATCACGACTCATCACTGCCTATATCTCAGGACTTTTTGATTTTTCGCAAATATACTATTTTACATCCCTAAATCAAAAAGTGCATAAAAAATTATTTGTTGATCATATTTGTTTTGACCATATCTCCGATTCTTATACACCGATTTTACTGGTTTTAAACAACTAAATTCTTAAAAGTACATATGTATATCTTAATTAATTATCTAAGATTTGGATTCCGAAGACATATGGAGCCTTCAAAAAACTGATTTTAAAAAACAGACGGACAGACATTTTGTGCGTGAACTTTTTAACCAACCGCGAAAAAATAATAATGTAGTTTCTCATAGTTTTTAATACTCAGTTCGACTATGATATGCCAACTTATCATAGTCATATTTGTAAAAAATGTCAATAGATTTATCCCTAATGTACAAATGTATGTACGCATATCCCTTTTAACATGAAATTAATATTATGACATATTTCTTTAACCTAATATACATAAGAAACAGTTTTATGTCTCATTAAATAAAACAGTTCAAAGAAATTACAACAATTCTAACAACTATGTACGTATATATCGTCACCTAAAACGCAAACGGTCCTATCAAACATTTCAAAAAATGTACCTACAGGAGAAGCAAAACTATGTTTAATAGTCATCATTTGTTATGATAGTTGACAATGGAGTATGTAAAAAGGATAAATTAGACTTTTAACCTTCAATATTTAAATATTTGTGAATCGGGTCTTTTGTTTTTCGCCAATAAAATCGCTAATTTTGGTCGGAGGAGTCAAATTTGTGGACATTTGTTTTGATGCAATACGTTAAAATCAACAAAATCAATTTTGAATTTTTGGTTTGCGTTGCAGGTGCAATATTTAATTTTCTTATTTGTGTTTTCCTCGTTTTTTACTATCCACAGCCCACTGATGGACTAGAAAACTGAAAATCTTTACGTAGCCGGATTTTTTATTTTGTGTCTTTGGGCGGAGAATTAAGAAAAAAGGCCGTGGCAAAATTACAATTTTTAAAATAAAACTGAAAAATGTCTAACATATAGTACTAACAACGGGCATGGAAAAATTTTGCTTTTTAAATTTGAAATTCACTCAATGGCCTAGGAAGATAACAATTGTCATGCAAGTTGTATGGACCATAGAGATGATGAACACTGTACTGGGTTTTTATATCCGCTATTAAGGTGGAGAGGAAAAAGAAAAAAGAGGCCTGGTAAACAATAGAAGGATTTACTGTTAAAGGCTGTCTTTACCCGAAGATAATTATTCGGGTAAACTCAATTGATTTCAGTCAGGCGATTTTGATGGGCAATCAAAGAATTTAGGTCCTATTACCCGATAACTACTCTTAGATCAACTTTGCCAAAGAAAAGTAGTGGCTAAATATATTATATAACACGGGAGATAGACAAGACTCTTGACATCCTGCAGGAATATTAAAAATATTTTATGTTTTGTTATTAATATGTACTCTAAATAATCTATGTATTTGTCAAATAATCCAATTTTAAAATGTTTGTAAATTAAAGCAGAGTCAAATGCAGCTTTAATGTCTAGCAAATTCATTGCCGTTGATTTCCCTCGGTAAAGTTGTTTTTAACAGAATTCCTTATACGAATCAACAGCCGTAAAGGGTTGTGTTCAGGACGAAAGGCGAGCTGCTGAACAAGTCGGATATTTTTGTTATTTATAAAATTAACATTTTTTATTTTTATTAGGATCTAAAATATTTGGCTCATTGTGTAAGTAGGCATATTGGTCTGTAGGAGTCGACGCTAGATATGTCCTTACCTGGCTTAGGTTTGGCAATAACTTTGGATTGCTTCCAAGTATTTGGAAAATAGGGTAATTTCATTTTAAATTTAAAGGATAAAATTAAAAAATCCGAAAATAACTGTTATTTTGTAAACAAAATAACACATAATAACTATTATTTTCTGAGCGAAACTGTTATTCTCTGAACAAAACTTAATACTCAGAGTTTTTGAGTTGAGTTTTTTAATAAAAATTAAAAAATAAAAATCATTGCATGATTTTTTTTTATAGAAAATTTATCAATAATAATTATTTGCAATCCCTGATAATACCCAATAATCCTTTAACCCCCATACGAAAATTATTTTAACCAGCAGAATATATCTACCGGATAAATAATAACCGGAGGTGGAGTTAACGGGGCTAAGAAAATTTATTACATACAATTTTTTTAAAAGCTAAGTGTCTAAAAAAGTTAAGTGTCAAAAATATTGGTCTTGAATTGATGCCAAGTACGACAAGGGATTAATTTTAAAGAAGATTGATTCCAAGATTTCCACATATATTATGTATCCGTACAAAAACAAATCAATGCAATTAATACGTAGTTTTTGAAACAAAAGTTTCCCAGTGTGGACCAGGTCTAAGGTGAAGTAATTTTTTTTATTTGAGGTAGACACAATTGTCAAGTACACCATTTAAAGGTGCCACAATTAATTAATTTTTTATTAAGCTATAATTTAAAATGCTATTCTTATTAAATTGGTGGATTTTTTAAATTAATATATACTGGCAAAAACATTGTTTTGTCAATTCACGCCTAATTCTAGCTGCTGATATAGATGTCATATCGCATACCCAGTACAAATGCGACACAACTCAACAAATTTTTTCAGATAAGGGAACAGATTTTTTACAAATTATGAAATATAAAGAAAGATATAACGTTTTGAACTGGTTACAACAACAAAATACACTAATATTTTTTAGGGATAAACAAGTATCTTGTACACTGTTTAAGGCTTAAACGTAAGGCTTAAAGAATACAAAAACGCAAAAATAAAATTTTGAGTTGACTCACTATTTATTTAATCATAGATTAACTTTTCTTAAATAGTTATATATTTTTAAAGAAGTTCTTGAAATAAAAACTATTAAAAAAATATTAATCGGGAATGGCCGACCATATGATACCAGTTATGAATATATCTAAAATGTGATTTCTTTTTTAATAAAGCATTTATACTGAAATTTGTCCATTACTTTTTAAGAAATTTATTGATGAAAAACTGATTTTCTGAAAGAGCCTATATATGGGAGGTAGGACCAATTATAGACGGATCCTATCAAAATTTGGCGGAGGAATTTATGTTCATATAGGAGTTAGATATGCAGGATTTCATCATAATGATGAAATCCAATAACGACAAGCCACAATTAAGAGCTCCGATTTAGTCCATTTTCAAACAACTTCGTCCTTTGGTAAAATGAAATATTTGAGCCTATTTTCATCAAATTATCTGGAAAATTGCGACTTGTAGTTTGATTACAAGGTTTACATGGACGGACGGACATAGCTAAACCACTATATTGCTGTAGGATGTACATACATAGGTAGTAGGATCTCAAATGGTTTGTAACTGAAAAAATTAAAAGGATTTATGTTTTATATAGTTCATTTAAAAAAAATTTCGACTGTTTTTCCTGGCAAATTAATTATTTGTTGTGAGAACGGTTGATAAATACTTGAACATTTTTAAATATCTATAAAATAGGTGTTTATGCTTAAAAGTGAGCATTTTAAAAGCTAATAGTTCATATAATTCAATGTACTTTATTCCAGTATAGCCACAATTTTAGATTTTGGCTAAGGATCCGAAATATCAGAAATCGCGCATAGAATATCACGTTGAATTAAAATATTTTCTAAGAGTGAAATATAGCTACAGTCAAGCCATAAATATTGATATATGACATGTTACGATCGGACTTAAAATGGCGGCGTAATATATAAAAAACAAAAATGGCGGTATTTCTAGGCGTGGCAAAAAAATATTTTTTATATTTTTGGGGGTGACTGACACAACTTTTTTTTGTCCATAGAGACCGTCCCACTCTATTGTACATAATTAATTAATAATTAATTCTTAAACATACATATTTCTACAGAAAAACAATTGACATTGTGGATAGGATAGGATAGGATATGTGGGAATATTAAAGCAACCGCATTCCTAGAAATCAGAATCTATGGATACGGGGCCACCCTAATACATACCCATACATATGTACATATATTTAATACCAGCAAAGTAGTAAATTCGACAATTATTACATGCCATTTTGTTACTGATTCGCAAAAACACTTTATTCAAAATTAGCGAAACTGCTTACTTAACTTGCTATGCATTAACAATTAATTTTTTTTTTGGCCAATTAAACACGTTGATAATGATAATTTTTTCTCAAATGATTATAATTATTTCAATTATGTACGAAAATATCTAAATTTAAGTTATTTTCATATTTTCACTTTTACAACTTACTTCATGTTTTCGATATTTCTAATTAATTAATTTTCATACATATTATTTATTTTTATTTGTTATTTTTTAAATTTCTGTTTCAACCTTTCGCAAACTTCCTAAATAGAAGCACCCATCAACCAACAAATTCAACAATTTACTGAAACAACACAAGTGTTTTTCAAACGATTTTAACTTTACGCTCTTAAATTTACAACTCAGAGTCTCAAATGTATAATTTCTTTTTTAAAGTAAAAATTGGGTACATTCTTGTTATTTAAGGCTCGGTAAGTTTCCACGTTTCGTGACAAATTGTATTTTTCATACAAAAACCACGGAATTCTCATCGGTTTACAAATGTTTCCCTAAAACAAAAACGAATCAGCTGATTCATAACCTATCGTAGAAACTAACTAAAACTTTAAGTAGAAATCTAAAGTCGAATTTTATATTTTTGTTAAATAATAGAAAACGTAAGATTTTATACATATTTATGTATGTAGTATGTGTTTGATATCCGAAGAAGGTATGTAGTGCCCGACAAAAAAATATTAACTCTTTTAGCAGTAAAATAAAGTATTTAAGTATGAATTAAGCTGAGGGACTGAATTTGTTTTAATTGACATCAACAAAGCAAACTAACTGGCTAAAGGTAAGAGTGTTAGCTCAGCAGATCATTGTGTGTAATTTTTTTTATACATACAGAGACTTGTATATAACATTGAATCGTAATAATGTCAAAATTCGTACGAGTTCTCTGAAATGCCATCAACTTAAGTTATTCTCTCTATAAAAATGACTACTTACTTACATATGTATGAATGTATAATTAATATTGCGGTGCTTTAAATATTAGTTTGTTTTATATAATTATTCATTTCAAAGTTTTGCGTTTATTGGGATATTTGTGGACGTATTGTTTTATTTGTTTTCATTATAATGCATTCGCGTATAAAGTTGATTATAATACATACATATATAATGATATGAAAAACTATTATAGTTAGGATCTTCAAAATCGTTACGTGGGGTTTTTTATTTGTATTGCTTTTAGGGTATCAAAGCACACTGGGTATAGCTAGTGTGGCAATTTCATGTCAAGTGACCCAACTCAAAAAATCGATTTTGACGAAATTTGTACCAAGGTTAGTAATATTGGATAGTAGGTCAGACACAAAGAGTGGGTCAAAGTTGGACATTTAGTCATACAAGGTTTTATTCAAATGAGTGTAACTTTTCTCCCATTGGTCCGAGCAAAAATTGTCCAAAGAAGTTCAGACAGCTATTTCTTTTTTTTATATTTTTTTAAAAGAACGCTTATACAATTTCTTTTAAGAGCTTTGTAGTCCCATAATGGGATGCGAGTGGGATATCTATCAAAAAAAATATTTTGTAACTCAAGAATAAAATTTTTTCCATAAATAAAATTTTTCCAAAATTTTCTGTTGCCTTTTTTGCTCAAATGAAAGCTTAGACCATTTTATCTTTGAGGGCTTTGTGATTACTAAGTGGGATGCAAGTGGGATATACATATATGTATATATAAAAAATATTTTAACTTCAAATAATTTTTTCCACAAATAAAAATTTTATTCTTGAGTTAAAAATATTTTTTTAATAGATGTCCCACTCGCATCCCATTATGGGACTATAAAGCTCTTAAAGGAAATTGTATAAGCTTTATTTTAAGCAAAAAAGACCAATTTGAAAAAAATGTAATTTAAAAAATTCAAACAATGAAGAAATATGTAGCTATCTGAACTCCTTTGGACAGTTTTTGCTAGGATCAATAGGTGAAAAGTTACACTCATTTAAATAAAACCCTGTATGGCCAAAATGCCCAACTTTGACCCCCTCTGATTCCGGCAGTTCTTGGCCGATAGAGCTTTGTACCTGCCCTATTATCCTACCTGCCCTACTATTTGTACCTTGTTGCAAATTTCATCCAAATCGAAAGACATCAATTTGAAAAGTTATGTCACTTGACACGAAATTCCCCATGTCGTCATATGAAATCCAAATGCCCTAGGTTACAAAAAAAATCAAAATCGACTTTTTATTGATTATGATGCACCGTATCAAAATACATGTTCCTGCTAAATTCTACACTCCTACAATTAAAATCAACGTCCCTATCAAAGAAATTCTAAAAGGTCGTGTTCTAAAATTACCTTAAAATTCATGAAAATTTTAAAATTCTTTTGGGTTTTTAACTTCGAAAATGTGAAATGTTATAAGTTGGCATCAAATAAAACAAAAATGGCACTTTTAGCGAAACCTTGTAATTTAGATATTATTTTAACTGTTTTAGAATTTTTTTAAAGAAAAATTCCAATTTCCGAAAATCTTTATGAAAACAAAGAAGCCTTTTTTATGCCTTCCATGTTACGCCCTTTTGGGTTTCAGAAAAAACAAATTCTCAAGGGCGTAAGTTTCATATCTCCGTAAGTAAAACAAAAACCGCAAATTTTTCTTCAAATAATAATTTGTCAATTAGAAATAAGCTTAACTTGAGAAAATGTTGAACATTTCGGTTTATTTATCATTTTAGACGGTTTTTTGCCTCTCCTAAAAAATTTGTTCAATGTAACTTAGGGCTTTTTGGATTTCATATGACGATATGTATTTATGCATGAATGTTTACATATTAAACCTTATTCATAACAATTTGTAAAAGGTTGTTCTATAAAGCTTTGATAAATTGTTATGAATAGGGCAGGTAGACTATAGATTTTACAATATTACTTATCTATAATTTAAACGTTATTTATATAATATTTTATTTACGAGTAAACTCTCGATTAGTATTTCCTTTTGATTATCTTGTTGATTTTAGAGCGATAAGAGTAAAAAATGTTTGATGTCATTAAATTACTGTCGACAATCACTATTATAAAATTGTTTTATTTAAAAGAATTTTAACAAACAAGTTATATGGATTATTAGATAATATCGACATAAAAATTTATTTCGTAAAATATTATAATAAAGATAGATTAGAATGTACATACTTATAACATTAATATTGTTCCTATACCCACCTTTAAGTATATCAATCGGCTTAGAATCATTTTTTGAGTCGATTTAGGTATGTCCGTCCGTCCTTGTAATCAAACTACAGGTCCCAATTTTGAAGATAATTCAATGAAATTTGGAACATAATCTTCTATGGTACCGGAGACGAAGCCTATTGAAAATGGGTAACATTGGTCCATTATCTCACCTAGCCCCCATACAACTAAACCCCCGAATAGGGCTTGTAAGTTCTTAATTATGTGTAATATACTCGTATCTCGACGAAAAGCTGCAAAACTAAGTTCTATACTAGCCTTGATGATCCTTATGAATTTTATAATTATAGGGTCTCATTTGTCCACACTTTTATTCAACAATACATGGCTTAAGTACTATTCAAAGCAAGGTACAATTCAACATAAATGCTTTATTATGAAAACTGAATCACATATAATTTTTGTAACAGGTGTAGGGTATTATATGGTCGGCCTCGCCCGAATATAATTTCTTACTTGTTTTTTATTTAAACCGTTCCCGAACCGTTGGGATGGTAATCTCCAAATGGGTTCTTGGGAGTCAGTCACATTACTAGCTCTTTTACTAGTTACTTTACTAGCTATTAACGTGTCCTAGGGAGAAAGTCAAGTGTCCCCAAGTAGATAGTCCAATGGACCGGTACTGCAGTATCGTTAAATAACCGGTACGTCAAAGTTTACCTCTAAAAATTATGAAAAATAAAAAAAAAAACTTTTTTAAAATTACTTTTATTAAAATAAATAAATAGATTACGAAGAGTACATTCGTGACGAATGACCAAAAACTTTCAAATAGGGTACAACTATATGGTTAAACTTTAGTGGAAAATTATAATAGTGTCTCCAATAGATGTGCAAAATATCTACATTCTGAAGTACAATGGAAAAAAACAATTTTTAAGTGTCCCCTCACTCGTTTACCTAGGGTACAGTAAAGTGACTTTTACGTTTGAAAAAAGCATAATTTTTTATAGAAAAAAGCAAGGTTGGCAACCGTTTCGAAACGGTGATAAGGTAGCGCTATCGGTGTCTTGACTTATTTCGGTATTAGTATTTTAGCGTTATCGGTATTTCGGTATTGGTATTTTGACTTATTTCGGTATTGATATTTTAGCGTTATCGGTATTTTGGATTATTTCGGTATTGTTATTTAAACGTTATCGGTAGTGTACAAAAATATATTTTAGCGGTAATTTCGGAATGATTTAAATAATTAAAAATATGTTCATAAATGCAGTGCAACAGCATCAGCAAACTTTTAAATACAAAAAATATTATTGGTATTATTGTTTTACATACTTTTTATACCCACCATCAAAATGTTTGTAACACATCGAAATATTGGTCATAGACCCACAAAAGTATATATATTCTGGGTCCTTATTAAATTCTAAGACGATCTAGCCATGTCTGTCCGTCCGTCTGTCTGTTGAAACCATAAACCATAAATTTTTTAACAAATATTCTCTACAGGTAAGGTTTGTTTGCTATTGAAAATGGGCAATATCGGTCCACGTTTTCAGATAGCCCCCATACAAGTGGACCCCCGAAAAACAGCTTTAACGGACATACATATCTAGTTTAAAAGTATGAGTATAACGATGGAATTCGACATAAATAAGTTTCATGTGATCCAAATTCTCCCTACCAAATTTTATGTTGATCGGTCCATAATTGACCCTACCCCCCATATAAGGTCCCCTTCAAAAAATTAGTTTAACGCTCATTACTGACTTCAAAATACTAGTATAACTATAAAATTTGACTTAAGTAAGTCTCTTATGATCCAAAATCTCTCTATCAAATTGTATGTTGATCGGTCCATAATAGACCCTACCCCCATATAAGGTCCCCTTCAGAAAATGACTTTACCGCTCAAAATACGAGTATAGTGATGAAATTCAACACACATAAGTTTCATATAATGCAAAATCTTCCTTCCAAATTTTATGCGGATCGGTCCATAATTGACCCTACCTCCCATTGAAGGTCCCCTTCAGAAAATTACTTTAACGCTCATTACTGGCTTTTTTAATACTAGTATAACTATGAATATAAGTAAGTCTTTTATGATCCAAAACGTCTATACCAAATTTTATGTTGATCGG